CGAAAACCAAACATAATTTCAATTCATTTCTCCAAACTCATATTATTATCATGATCGATTTATTTATATATATTTATATTTTTCTCGTTGTCTTTGAATCAACTTTGATTTGTTTAACAATCAAGAGTTTAGATTGATTAGTTTATATATGAGTTTAATTGAACAATCATCTAGTGACATGGTTAATGGAAATAGTTTCACCGAACAATATTTTCTCCCCTGTTCTTTTGTCAACTGAATCATGAAAAAAAAAGGAAAACAACATGAATGATATTATCTGGATTATGAACAATTAGAGATCAGGATTAACTTATAATCAGTATAACAGAAAAGTTATCAACATTTTAATTAAGTTTATCATTCCCATTTCTCCCCCTGTTATTCATGAATCATTGAGATAGAAAATTGTTCAATATTATCAGAAAATTTTTTCCATTCTCATGAAAATTATGCAAGGCAACTTTTTCCCTAATAATTTATTCAGATTTTTTTTTATATTCACCATGAGAAAATCATGATATTTTCTTTGAATTGTTATTCTAAATGAATAGTTTAAGTGACATTTTCCAAAGTAGATTGTCTTATATTCATGTGTATGTGATGGATTTGTGAGTATTTTGTTCAGAGAGTGTAAACAAAATAAATGAATGAAATAGTTTATATATAATATTGAAATACAATCAATTTCAATCAAATTAAAATTATGGAAATCAATTCAACTGAATAGCAAAAAATTAACATTAATAATTGATAAAATGGTTAACATTTTAATATCCCATTAAAAGTAATCAACAAGAGGGCGAGACACAAACATTACCTTCATTATAATTTACTCATTTATACCAAAGTAAACAATTAACTAATTGAACAAGAGAATTAAATATTTTCCCCTTCATTAATACCTTGGAATCAGAATCATTTATCTTACTCCATTTATCTCATTCATCTTCGTGACTTATTACATTTACAGTTATAACCACTTAGCTTTTACCATGATAATCAATATGAATTATCACCTGAGAAAAAAATATCTCATGCAATTTGAAAATATCTGATTGTTAGTTGATGGAATTGATAAAACTTTGATATTTTCTCTTTATTATTGATTGAATAGGAAAATAATATCAACAATGAAGAAAGAAAAAGTTTCTAGATTGATGGATAAAGATAAAGGGATAATATGAATCATGTTAATTAACTGATGGTTGAAAATCATCGGGAGCAAATGAATCAATTGAATTGATGAGATTCCTGATGAGAGTTCATTAATTTGATTCTTTGATCATGAATGAAAAGTCAATGACAAACATTTTCTCCTATCAGCTTATTAATGTGCTAATAAACTGGTAAAAACTTGTCATCATCATGTTACATTATTTGACGAATTGACAAGTTTATCATTAATCTAATGGCTTCTCAATTAACTTGATATTCAAATCGATAGATTTTTTTTTCCATCTCCCAACAATTCATATTTCTCAATTTATCAATTACATTCTAAATCCCAGTCTTGTAATAGTTGCCGCAGGGTAAATATCAAGGTTTTCATTATATTCCAATTTCAATGAAATCAGAGGAAAAATATTCAAGTTTCAATGAGATGAAAAAAAAAATCATCAAATTAACTGAAATTAAAGTGATCATTTACATGATAGAGTAATTGTTTAATAGTAATTCATTTAATAGTTGAATTTGAATCGATCAACAATAATGAATTGTCATTGAATCTGTTGATTTTAACAACAATTGAATTGGAATACAATTACTACCAAATAACTAACAAAGTATCAATTGAAGGGTCAAATATCATTAAAGGTTATTGGGTTGAAAAGTTTTCGGAAACAAGGAAAGTTTGGACAATCAACTTTCTACTTTAACAAATTGATTCAAAGAATTATTCTATTATTATTATGTTCGATTCTGGGAATCATGATAATGATAATAAAGAAAAGAAGAAGATGGAGAAAAAGAGAATAACGAAAACATGATTGCTCTCAGAGTGGAAAAACTTAAATTCATTGTTTCTTTCGAGCTGAATGATCATCTTCATCTCTACCATCGTCGTCTTTTAACTTCGTAACCATCACTATTAAGATTATCATGATTCTCTATATCATTTTTATTTTCTATTTCGATTCAGATTCCATACAACAGATTGATCCTTGCGAAGAAGTAACAAAAAAGTATATACATAAAACAAGCAACTATTCATTTTTGAATATCTCTTTTCTTGCTTTAGTTTTCTCATCCCTACCTCGTGGGTTGGTATTTCTTTTTTTTTCCTTCTTCTATTTCTTTTTCAAATTCTGTTCTTTTTCCCAGAATCTTCGGTCTATCTCTCAATTCTCTATATATGCTGAATAATCCTGAATGTCTTCCTTGGTGATGCAGGGAAAATCTTTTCTTCACCATTCTTTCATTCGTTATATCAGTTAAATCAGTTTCAAATTGGTTTTGAATGCTTATTATTATAATAATAAGTTTTTTTTTCTTCGAAATTTTTACCGTTTCAAATCGTTTTTATTTCTCTCTTTCTTTCTCTTTCTCTTTCTCTCTCCCTGTCTCTTTGTCCATGAACAATGCGATACCTTTCATACTTTCATCTTATATGATCACATTGTTGTTATCTAGAACTGTTCATATCGAATGTAACTGAAACTGTCTGATAAATAGAGAGAGAGAGAGAGAGAGAGAGAGAGAGAGAGAGAGAGAGAGAGAGAGAGAAACATCAGAATTACATTTGGAATTTTGATTAATCTATGATATATACAAATTAAGTTCTCTGTCATTTCCTTTTTCAAGGTTATATGACATGTTAATCAAAAGATATTAATTTGAATCGAATCTTGAATAATCGATAATTTCTATAAAATGTAAAAGTAAAAAGTTTTCAACTTGGGAAAAATGAATATGAACTTATGATATCCCAGTAGAAAACGATAAACAATTGAGCTAATTTGATATTCTTATGATTATCGTTAACTTTATATTGTAAATTGAAGTTTCATTGAGCACGAAAAGAAAGGTTATTGATACTTAGTAAGTACGAATATTATTATTCATGGTAAATCTTGAATAGTTCAATTCGATCCATGAAATCCATCGGCTAATTCTGTGGGTGTATGTAAATGGCCCTTCTTTGTAATATCATGATAAATATTTACAAATCACCGAATCGATTTTTTTTTTATTCAGAATAGAACTTTTTTTTCTTTATTACTTTTTCGAGTTCTCGAAACTTTCTAATGAACTTTAAACATAATCATTATCCCTTGGATAAGTTGGAGATTTAATTTAAATTTGATTAACTTTCTACTTTTAAAGTTAATCAATTTCTCCCTTGTCAAAAAAAGCTCCAGGTATTATTATCTTATTATTATTGTCTACTGTTGGATGTTAAATGAGCAATTAGTTTTAATTGTTAGTTGTTTGTTTCATCAAATACAGTTGAATTGATGATTAAATAGCACTTTTAACAAGCTATTTAATTTTACAATTAATCAACAACAAAAAAAGCTTCATTCATTTGATAAGATGAAAGTTAATATCTTGTGAATAACATTCAGCTATTTCTTTCATGGCATTTTCATGGTAACTATAAGTCCTATGAATTCAAGACTTGAAAGATATGAAAGATATGAGGTTGAACGATGGGAAAATATGTAAAGTAATATAATGACCTTGAAATGCGTTCTTTGTCCTTTCGACGACCTAAGTGACCTTGATCTTTCAATACGACGATCGAGTATTGTTCAAACTCGTACTATTAATGTTGAGAAAATCACGAAAAAATAATTGCTGAGTTGTGTAGTTTTTCAATTGATTCAGTTAACTCATTGATTGTTATTATAATTAAGTATTAGTTTGACAATCAATCTGAGATTAGTTTATTAGGTCAACTTGTATTTGTATGCATGGAATAAATCAAATGATAATAATTGTTATACTGATGATGATAATGGTTAATCAAATTGTGAATTAACTGGTTACACTTGATTGTCTAGATGAGATAATCTAGTTTTATTAATGGGCACAATTGTTATTATTGATTTCAACTTAATCATGATAGACACTAGTTAATTTAATGTCATCAAGTGATCAACTCTTACGACTCATTTAACTTAGCAACACAATTAATAACTAGATAATGTTTATATCATGACAATTAAGAGGAAAACATTGTTATAACAATTAGATGGATGTATGAAATTCAATTTAATTGTTACTGATGGTGATAAACATGTGAAGCAATTAATATATATACATAATAATCTGTTCTAATGATGTGATTTCAAATTGTGATTTGTAGCTTATTATTGTTACTGAATTTAATCATTTCGCAATTTAAAATTAATTTGATTCTGTATACATATTAATCAGGATAACGATTTGTTAGTATCAGTGATTCATTCACAGCAATTTAATGGTTTTCTTTGCAATTATAATGATGGAAAGTTTTGTTTTCTGTTGATTGATTGTTAAAATTTTTCAACAATTTAGTTACATGATTTTAATCCTGGTCAAATAAAATGATTGTTGAACTTAATTCTGGGTGTATTCAGAGGGTATTCCGATAAATTTTCAAGCTTCTTATGTTCAGTTTAGTTGAAAAATCTTAACAATCAACTTATCATTGTTTTGATTTTATTGTTAACTTGACTATTTATTTTTATTTCATTTCTTAACAATCAACTGATTGTTGTTGTTTTCTTGTACTTATTATTTTTCTTATTTCTCAATTGATTTACTGTATATTAGTGGAGCTAAATTGTAAACAATTTAAGAGTAACAAACGCATGTCTAATGATGAATTTCAAGTGATTCCATTAACGATACACAACAACAATTAACTAACTGTGAATAATTAATGATCTCATTAACATAGATTTTCATATTATTAGAAGGTGAAATTGGACGATTCTTTAATTGTATTCGATTAACTGTTGAATTTGTAACAATTGTTTTGATATATTGAACTAATTTTTTGTTTTTCTTTTCAGGTCCATTAATTACAATTGCGATGCTACTTCCGAACCTTAATAGTTGCGTTAATCCTTGGATTTACCTGTTCTTTAATCGTAATTTATTAACTACTCTAGAAAAATTATGCTGCTCATGTTCAACTAATCAGAATAATAGTAATCAAAATAATAATCGTAAGCATCTTGAAGATTCATCGATTAACGCCGAAGCTCATAGTTCATCAATCAATAGACATGGATCAAGAGCGATTTTCGCTAATCAAAAGATGACAAAATATTCTGATGATAGAACGAGTGTTGATCACTAAATTAGAATTAGTAATTTATTCTGAAAAATATTTCAATCCATTAATTGTATTATAAGTTACCCAATGATAAAGTAATTGTAATTATCTTTCCAATTTGATTAAAATTAAAATGATTGAAACTTTTTTGAACAACTGATGATTCGTCAAGTTTGGGGACATTTATTTTCAAGTATTCGATATATTAATACTTATCGAAAACTTTTTGGCCAGAAAAGAATAACAATAAGTTAGAGACCCTCATTTAATAAGAGAAGAGTAATGATTAGAATATTTCTGACGAAGGACAATTTGCAAACAATTAGTGTTTTTAGTTGAGAGTTGAGACTTTGAGTATTTGTAAGGCCACAAATATCAAGTCCAAATATATTATTTTCTGATCTAATAAGTAGTCTTTAAGAAAATCGAGTTCGAAGTTGAAACTTCAGGTCACTTTTTCCCAGCAAAGATAAGCTTTCAGATCGTTGAATTTGCATTTCAGCAACAACATCTCAAGTTTTCAACGGAAAAGATATTCTCAGAAATGAGTGAGATTAAGAAACATCTCTTTTCTCTTTAATTAGAGCTGATGGATCAGAGGAGACGATAACACCCGATGGAACAATTATCAGAATTTCAGTGGATGGAACTGAAATAGTTGAACTTTCAAACGGTGAAAGAGAAATTCGAACAAAAAAATTTAAAAGAAGACAATATTTAGATGGAACCGTAAAGACAATTCGTTGTTCCATAGTTGCGTTGTATTTAAATAAATTGACCGCAAGTTCCACATGTCACAAATGATCTGACAACTTAACAAATTAATGATAAGCTATTACTCTTTGTTTAGATCCCCCTGCAAAACTAAAAACAATTTTTGTTAAATCTAAATATTTTCATCATCTTCATCTTTATCCTTCAATGATTGAAGTTCAATCTGGAAAATCTTTTTTGTATTTGGCGCTTCAACTCTTGTTTTCCCAAATTGTTGACAAAAAATTTTCACATGTAAATAATTTTGAACAACAGTTTTGTTTACATTTGTGTTATCTGTTTGTTGGTTTTGTTATTAATTAAATTGTGATTAGTTTTCGGTTATATAATTATTATGTTTAAAAAGAAGGAGAAAGTTACACGTAGTAAATTGTTAGCTGAAAGATGTAAAAAACAAATGGAATATTCAAGATTCCGAAAAATGAATGAATTCATTTACTCAAAACCGAGTGACAAAGGTTTTGATTTCATGAATGATGTTACAAAATTCAAGCAATACCATGAGGCCTACGATGAGATTGCCTGTAAGTGGCCTGTTAAACCGGTTGATCATATAATCCAAAAGATTGAATCATTTGCTGGTCCAGATTGGGATAAAAAATGGATCATTGCTGATCTTGGCTGTGGACAATATCCAACAATTAAGGTGAAACTTAACAAAAAGGCTAAAGTTCATTCCTTTGATATAATTTCTCACCATAAAGATATTATCGCTGCTAATATGGTCAACGTACCTTTAGATAATTCATCCGTTGACATTGCTGTTTACAGTTTATCATTAATGGCAACCAATATAAAAGATTTGATGGTAGAAGCGAATAGATTGTTAAAAAAACATGGAATGCTGATGATTGCTGAGGTTTCATCGAGATTTGAAGATTTGAAGATTGAAAAATTTGAAGGGAAACTGAAATCTTTTGGATTCCAGATAATTGAACGTGAATATTTACCACCAAATAATTTTTTCGTTTTCATCAATGCAGTGAAAAAGAAAAATTTACTCAAACAAGAAATCTCCAATTTACCTGATATCACATTGAAACCCTGTTTATATAAACCAAGATAGAATGTAAACAATCTGAAATTCATAAATTTTGTATAAAAAAGAAAAAGAAATCAATTAAATTAAATGTATTGAGAAAACAAAAATTAAACGGTCGAATTTTATTCTTTTAATTTTTGCCGCCATAATTTTCTCTTCTCTGATTGGTCGGTTTTGTTTTCAATTTTGGAGCCAAACATTAACTACTTTTGTTTTGGTTACTCTTTGGTTGCTCAGTTTAATTAAACATTTCCACTTCTATTGTATCTCATATGTTATCTCACTGTCATTGACAATTAGTTGATTGTTCCCTTGTTGTGATGACTGATCGAATTGCGAATCATCTATTACAATCAATTCCAGAGGAATCTTCTTATAATAATTCTGCTTCTGTTGCATATGAGTAAGTATGAGTTTTTTGATTCTCTTTTTTTTCTGTTAATGTTTTAGTTGAATACAATTTTCGATGATTTGATTAATTGTTTCTCTCTCTCTTTCTCTTTCTATCTGTGTGAAGTCAAAGCCAAGATTCGATCAGTTCATTGGATGGAACTCATTTTTGGAGTATTTCTTTGGATGACACTCCAATTCTACCAGCTATTGATGGTAAAAAAGTGAAAACATTTGACGAGCTTGTGGAATATGCTCTTCAGCGAGATGATAGTCCAGCTAATTTAGGTATGGAAGATACAGAGAAACCAAAGAAACCTTTTCTTAGAAAAGGTTCTGGACTGGTTAGATTTGCTCCTAAACCAGATACACCGAAACGAGAGCGTCGACATTGTTGCCGAAAAAAATTGGAACAACAATTTATGGACGAAGCAGAAAAAGTGAACTGTCTCAATGAGAGACATTGTTCAAAGAAAAGTGATCAAACCAAGAGCAATAATAATATTCGCAATGACAATAATCGGAAAAAAGTGACTATTAAACCAGCACCTCAGGTTAATAATAATAGTAAACGATATGTTTCAGAATTGAATGGAGTTTCAATTCAACCAAAGAAAATTCAGACAAATGGAATCATAAATAGCAGACCAACTTCAGGAAAAGACAATCAAATCCAATCATCTCTCGATATTCCAATGAGATCGAACCAATTCAACGGGAACAATCAAATCATATTATATCTCATGAATTCCTTTCAAAAGTATGTATCGAACTTTTATCTTCTCTTTCAACTATTAATTGTTAACTTTTATATAAATTTTCTTCTTGTCAACAGGATAAGAATTGTAAGAAATTGAGTAGTATGAACCTTAAGGAGAAACGAGTGAACTTTGAAAACGACGAGCCTCGAGTCGAAGCCCTGGAGCGATTATTGAAAAACATTCAAGTGAAACAACAAGAACTTCAACAACGTGTTTCTGAGGAGCAATCAGACGAAGAAAGTTGGGAAGATGATTACGAGGAAACAGAATTACTGAGAAAACAGCCAATTAGAAATAAAATTCTATCGAAACCTTTGCTGAATAAAAAGATAACAAGAACCGGAACCTTTACATTGGGTAAATCGAGTTCCAATAAAGAAGAAGCTGAGATTGATCTTCTATCTACTCCTCGAATTAGCAGTTATACATTATCTCTTAAACAGAAGATTGAAACACTCGAAGATCGTCTCAAAGAGTTAACTGTCAAATGTCAACAGAATATCGCTGATTATAAATCTCGAGAATCACCGAGCGTTGAAAAGTTTTCACCGGAAAAGATATTCTCAGAAATGAGTGAGATTAAGAAACATCTCTTTTCATTGACCAACAAATTAGAAACAATTGAAACCAAATTATTGACTAAAGAAAATTCAAACCAAGGAATCAAATTAAATTTACCTTCATCAAGTGCAAAAGTGATCACATCACCAGAAACCTCATTATACTCTCAGATTCAACAACTTCAAACGGGAACTCACCTGACACTTGATAATGGCGATCAAATTATGAAGACAAGTGATGATACAATTGTAAGAGTAATCGAAACTGTCGAAATTACAATCAAGATGATTACTAATCGAAAATTTTCAAATTCTTCCAAATAGATTTACAATTACGCCTCTGGAGTCAGACAGATCACTCATTCTGATGGAACACGAGTTGTTGAATTTCCCAGGTAATAATTTTATTCGCCAATTCCCTTTGATTATTGTTACAATTTGGTCTAATCAATTTGATTTAATCTTTGCTATGTTTTTCTTTTCTTTTTAGTGGTCAAATTGAACGAGTCTCCACTAATGGCACTAAAACAATATTCTATCCCAATGGTACTCAACGAGTGATTAGAGCTGATGGATCAGAGGAGACGATAACACCCGATGGAACAATTATCAGAATTTCAGTTGATGGAACTGAAATAATTGAACTTTCAAACGGTGAAAGAGAAATTCGAACAAAAGAATTTAAAAGAAGAGAATATCTAGATGGAACCGTAAAGACAATTCATTCGGATGGGACAGAAGAGACTCGATTTCCAACTGGACGTTTAAGAATAAAGGACAGAGATGGAAAGTTAATCGCCGATTCGTTGATAACACAATTTCGTGGGATAACCTAAATAACATTAATTATTATTCTATTTTTGAAGATTTTACCAACCAATTAACAATTATACAAATGCAAAGTAAATTTTGTTTGTAATTTTTAACTCCATTAAACACTAAGTATATATAATATATACATTTCTAATATCCAATTCAATTGAGAGATTCAATTGATCTTATGTAACTTTTACAAACTTTTCTTTGACCGGGTGGACAAATATCGATATCGGTTCGTCGATGGTAAGGTTCATAAATATCATCGATAAAATATCGACTTCTCTTATAATCTGCAGAGATCATTTTCTCCAGCATTTCCCTTTCCTTGTCCTTAACGAAAACATGTTGAATGGCCCATGATCGAAGCCAAAACGGTTTCTTCCACAAGTGCCGCTTAAAACCCGGTCTAGCACGAATCCATCCACCCCATCGAAGTCGAAAGTATCTCTTAAGCACCTCAGGATGTGAATGAGGTCGACATGTATTCCTATCATAGTAAATGTTACGAGATTGTAAAGACATTAACGCATTGAGACCTGGCATCAAGCTTTGTCTATAAAACATTGATAAACATGGAACAGCCTAAGAATAAATAAATTAGAACAATTAAAAACCATTTTACGAAAAGAAACTTGTCTCAAACTTACCATTTGTAGTTAATTAACGTCAGGAGATTCCACTGATCAGTAAATTGTTAATTAATTTCAAAAGAATTGATGGAAAACAAAAAGATTTAAATTCAAAACAAGTTGAGTTGAAAATGTTTATCAATCAACAGAAAATCATATGACCATCGATGGATCGATTTCC